CCTCGGCAACCACAACCGAGCCTGCTCCCTGACGGGCACCCACAGCGGGCGCCCACAGCCTTCCGCGACGTCCCCCTCCCTCCGGCCCAGCCAGTGACTCTGTTCCTTGCAAGTACACAACCTTTTTCCCTGGTTTTGTTTGTTTGTTTGTTTTTTTACTGTCAGAGGGTGTGTATGCTTGAGAGACAGAGAAAGAGAGAGAGGACCCCCAGGGGGCACAGTGCAACCCTGTGTCCTCCGTTCCCATTCCATCAGGATTTGGGGAACATGCACACACATGCCCAGCGTGTTTTACAATCCACGGCAGCGGGGATTCGAACCACACTCGGCCCTGTGGGATCCAGCTTTCTGTGCACTGCACCTAACCACTGCGCAACAGGGCCAGTGCAGGTCGGCCTGGCCCATCGGAAAGCAGAGCGATTAAGGGAGTACTGAGCAGGCCTCTGTCCACCTGCTCAGACAACCACATGGGTTCTTTAAGGACACGAAGCTGCTGGGAAGTTTTCGCCCACTCTCGCCGGCTTCCACCTGGTCGCTTTCCGTGTAGCACGCAATGGCCGAGTCAGACATGAAAGGTCACCCAGCAGTGACGCAGATGCTCGACCACATGGGAAGGGCCTGGGTTCACGTCCCGAAGGCTCCCCGGGCACGCCAGGCACACGTGTGTGCCCGTGATCCAGGCTGGCTAAATCGGGGGGAGCATGTGAGGACCCTGTCGAGGTGTCTGTCTCTCAAGTCATAAATAAGTAAATACTTAGAGACGACAATTGACAGGGAGCTGCGACTCCGGTCAGAACGGAGCTGCACGCTCCAGTCAGACCCCCCGCAGGCAGATGAGTGCCCCCCGTGGACTGGGACAAGCCCCTCAGTGCCCTGTGCTCCTCCTTACCCTCGTGTTTCCAGGTACGAAAATGAAACGCGAGGCCGAGATGTCGCACACCAAAGGGCCGTGAACCCGCGCCGCGCCGGCCCGTGGGGGCAGCGACCCCGCGCCCGAGCCATCAGCTCACCTTGGCCCGGGACCAGCGCCTGCCGCAAGGCTTCCTTCAGAGGGCTGCCGCCGTGGAGGAGCGCGTGGCTGGGAGAGATGGCCACGTGGGACGCGCCATAGACGGCCTCAGGGGTGGCTGTGTAGGCCGTCAGCTTCTCCCCCGTGGCGTGCTCACCAAGCTGGAGAAAGGAAGCAGTCATTTCACGTCTAGTTCCCACGGTGGCCGTGTGGCTCCCCACCTTGTCCCCTGCCTCTCCCTGTAGTCCCAGCAGAGCAGGGGTGTGGGGATGGAGACGGTGCCTGCAGGGGCAGGGAAGGGCGGGCAAGGCAAGGGCCACAGTTCTTCTCCCTGAGGTCCCCGCGATGCCCACACCAGGCGTGCTGGCGTCCCCAACTGGGGTGGCCAAAGCACGCTCACAAAAACTCCCTCCTGGTCCGCCTGGCTCCTCGGCTCACAGGTCGAAAATACTGTCCGTGCTATTTCTGGGCTCCCGTCCTGAGATGGCTGCTATCTTTTCCCTAAGGATTTAAGGGTATAGTAAAAATAAAGGCATCTCCTTTCCTGACCAGAGAAGCCGTTGCCGAGGTCGTTAGCGCTCTGATGAAAGGAGGGACAGCCTCTGCTGCGTGGCCCAGAGCTGGTTAAATGCCTTCCCCGGGAGAGGCTTAGGCCGGGCCTCAGCGGAGGGCCGAGTGTGTGGCGGACGTGGGGACTCAGAGCAGATGGGCACCATCTCTCCAGGCGCTTGCTCGCACACGTTGACGGAGTGCCAACAGTGAGAGACGAGACGCTCTCCCGCGGCCTGCATGTCAGCCAGTGTCAGCACAGTGCGGGGTCTGCAGGACCGTGTCCCTCCCGGAGAAAGCACGCTTGCCGTCTGACGATGGACACCGCTCCACGCACGGCAGTCCAGGCACGGAGACCCAGCCCTGCACCCCGGCCGAGCAGGCCTCGACAGGGGCCCAGCAGGCTACGCGCAGGCCCGCGGAGATGGCCCGCCAGTCTGACAGTGTCCGGGCTGGGCTGACGTCAGCACTCTCGCCACCTTCTCGGGAACGCAGGACGAGGAACGACTTGGGCCAGGCTCTGTCACTGAGAGGTCCCCGTGCACTGCCCCGGGGCTCCCCATGTCTGCAGCGGGAGTGCAAAGGCTCACTGGGAGGATCGCACAGGGACTTATGAGCTCAGTGGGAGTGAGGTGCTGGGCAGGCAGCAGGTGCAGTGGTCAGAAGGGAAGCTTCTAGAAAAGTGGGCCAACGGTGCCCCTGGCTGTTCCTTCCTCCTACAGGGTTTGGAGCTAAATAAACAGAGTATGAAAGTTTTGATGAGGGCCAGCAGGTGGCATGGTTAAGTGCTGACTCCCACATGGCCAACTGTGGCTCAAGACCTGGAACTGGTGGCTCAAAAATTGCACTGGGTGCATGTGCCCAAGATCCCAGGAGAGAGTGCAGAAGAGACTGTGGCGTGGGCATCCCCCTGGGGGCTGATTCCTCACTTCCTTCTCACTGTGATTACCTTTCTCTAGCTCCCCCACCCCAGTGAGTACAAATGACCTACAGAAAAAAAAAAAAAAAAAACCTCTAAAAAAATAGAGAAAATTATAAAAAAAAACCTCTAAAAAAATAGAGAAAATCACAAAAGGGTGTATGTGTGTGTGTGTGTGTGTGTGTGCGTGTGTGTGTGTGTGTGCATGCCCAAAATCCTGAGAGGAACTGGAGGGAAGGGATTGCAGTGTGGTACGCCCTCTTCCCTGGGGGGTGACTTTTCACTTCCCCTCTGTCTCTCTCCAGTGAATGCACACATTCCATGGCAAAACAAAAACAAACATGGGAACCAGCAGTTAGCGTAATGGCTATGTCGCTGGACTCCCACGTGGTCGACCGCGGTTCGTGTCCCGGACCCGGTGGCTTAAAACTCACGCCGGGCGCGTGTGCGTGCGTGCCCAAGATCCCGAGAGGAGAATGGAGGAGAAGGGATTGCGGCGTGACCATCCCCCCTGGGGGGTGATTTCTCGCTTTCTGTCTCTCTGTCTCTGTCTGTCTGGCGAGCGCACGCGCCCTACAGTGAAAATCTCTCCAAAACAAACAAACAAACAAACAAAAAGTTTTGATGAAAGAAAGAAAAATCAGGAGAAAAATGAACAACAGCCCAGTAAGACACGCTCCAGTTTGCAGAGACAAAGGAAGTATACGAGGGGTGCCCTCCGAAACGTGAGCTCTCGGCAGGATTTCTGCAGCAGGGCCCTTCAGAACTCCACCCAGAACAGCTCCACGACCGGCTGGTTGGACACATGTCACTGTGCCTGGTTTTCAACCTGCTTTGGGACACGGGGCCTCTCAGGAAAAGCCACATACTGTGCAAATAATCTCAGGAGCTCCCGGAGCCGCAGAGGAGCCCTGCACCTGCTGTGCGAGGACCGTGAGTGTAGACCAGTGGGCTTCAAAGACCACACTAAACTAAACACACACTGCTCCTTTAACACATCTGCTCTGCGGATCCCGTCCTGAAATGGCAATATTGTGGATCCAATGGGTGAAATAAAACACGCTGTTAAGTTAATTTCGCCGACTTCTTTGCACTTCTAAAAACTGTGGCTACCAGGAGACAGGAGTGCATGTGTGGCCTGCAACCTCTCCTGGACAGAGCTACAGAAGAGGCCCGTGGGCTCCGTGCAAGGTTCTGAAAGGCAGCTTTGAGAGCCAGAGTGGCCGGAGCTGCGTCTGTCACCTTCAGTCTGAAGTCCAGGTGGCAGCCCACGCAGTCCCCGATCCAGTGCGCCTGCATGCCTTTTATCCCACACCAGTCTGGGAGGTCCGCCAGCGCCTCCTGCAGGGCCTGTGTGGAAGCACAGAGCTTATTTAAGAGGAAGCAGTGATAGGGGCTCCAGGAGGCAGACAACCGGGCACAGAAGGGGGTTCAGGATTCGGCCCTCTCCTCCTCTCCTTCCATGTCAGAGGTGGCCAGCAAAGGTGGGGACACTTGTGCTCATCGGGACGAGTCAGTGAGCTGGGTCTGACCCACTTCTCCATGCTCAGTGGGCCAAGGCTTCCTGGAGTAGAATGTTCACAAGGAAAGACCAGAGCACACAACTTTGGTAAAATGGGTTTAGTGCATTTCCTCCCCGAATCTGGAACTGAAACAAAAAGTTCACGTGTACGAATTTTCAGCCTCGTTCGACCACACACACCGGGACAGACCTTAGGTCTCCTGGCTCACACTCAGCCCTCGTTCGACCACACACACCGGGACAGACCCTGGGTCTCTCGGCTCACACTCAGCCTCATTCGACCACACACACCAGGACAGACCGTAGGTCTCCTGACTCACACTCAGCCCTCGTTCGACCACACACACCGGGACAGACCCTGGGTCTCTTGGCTCACACTCAGCCCTCGCTCGACCACACACACCTCCTGGGCACCATCTCACCCGGTGACACTGAGTGCCTCCACGGCTGCCCAGCAGTGAACTTCCCTCTTTCTCAGAGGCCTGCAGGAACTACAGAAGCCTGAAAGGGGACAGACTTCAGCCCTCCCCACCTGCCCCGCACTGAGCTAACGAGTGTGATGAATCACAGGCTCGGCACAGTCTTGGGGTGCCGTGGGGGGACCCAGAGGCACAGGGTCAACTGGTTTAAACGCCACCCGTAACCGAGAGCCGGGACAGCCCTAGCAGCAGTGGCTGCACCAGACCACTGGGGGGACGACGCTGTGCCTGGTCCTCCCCTCGGCCCCTGAGCCTGGTCTCCACCTGCCGTCCACGTGCGAGAAGCTTGACCTTTTCTGAGCAATTCTTTTTGGCTTAAGTCAACCACAGTAACTTTATATTATTTGCAACCAAGTTTTCAACTACCAGCCAGAGATGGTCAAAGTCTCGACACCCTGGGCTACCGTTTGGGAACCAGCAGTTAGCGTAATGGCTATGTCGCTGGACTCCCACGTAGTAGACCGCGGTTCGAGTCCTGGACCCGGTGGCTTAAACTCACGCTGGGCGCGTGTGCGTGCCTGCCCAAGATCCCGAGAGGAGAATGGAGGAGAAGGGATTGCGGCGTGACCATACCCCCTGGGGGGTGATTTCTCGCTTTCTGTCTCTATGTCTCTCTCTGTCTGTCTGGCGAGCGCACGCGCCCTACAGTGAAAATCTCTCAAAAAAAAAAAAAAAAAAGTCTCGAGGCCCTGACATACCCATGCGAGCTGATGCCACACCGCCCTGGCACCACAGTGGCAAAGGTATGAGCCTCGCACACACTCACCGTATACTCATGTAACACGCTGACGGCCAATAGTAAAAGGACGCGCTCCAGGACGCGGTTGGATTTTTGGAGCAATGTAGGGGGTCTTAAATGTGAACAAGCCTATAACTCGCACATCGTAAGCTCTGAAAACAAGTCTTCCTCGTCAAGGACCCGTGAGGGGCCACCTAACTGCCGAGCCAACCCCGACGTGGCTCCTGGGCCCCGAGCCCTTCTATCAAGTAAAGCCCACAGGCCACGATGGAACCCCCTCCCCTCCCTTTCCCTGCCAGAAAAACCCAGAGTTAAGGGGCCCGTTCCAACAGTCTCTGCGTGCCCTTCCCGCGCTAGGACAAGCCTCCTGGACTGTCCTCTCGACTGAACTGTCAGGGCTGGGCAGCTTCGTGTGACTGTTGCTATTTGCTGGAAATATTCAAATACCAGTGAGGACAAGAGTCAAACAGGATGAAATGAAAATGTTTTCATATGCTAATTCTAGAAAAATGATTGTTTAAAACCTAACTAAATCTGTGAATATTTTCAAAGACCAAAAAAAGTTATCCCAGCAGGGAGATGGCATATGGGTGCAGAGCAGGGTGTTCTGCAGAAACCCAGGGCATGGCTCGCCAACAGCGTGCGGACACACGGGACTGCAGGGGTGAGAGGAAAAGAGGTACCCACCAGCCCACACAGACGGCGAGGACACCTCAGAGCCACGCAGGGAAGAAACCACTGCTACAAAACGGCTTCCAGGTGGCACTCACGAAAGCCCCGACACTGGAAGGGCCGACCATCGGGCGATGCCCCGGCACTCGCTGTGCCCCGGGTGCAAGCTCCATGGGAAAGCACGAGGCTCCGGAACCAGGACGGGGTACGACCCATTCGGCTAATCTCCTCTTGTAGCCATCTGCTCTCTCAGGCCACACTTCCCAGGCTTCTCTCCCTTCAGACCCTGCTAACCCTCCTCTCCAGGGCAGGTCAGTCTTACTTGTCCTCATTTTCTGTAGGTTCTGAACCGGCACCGCCACATCACCAAGAATGCAGATGACGGAGGTGCAACCCTCCCAACAGAGCCACCGGCCTGACGAGACTGCACTGACTCCCAGAGGCCACCTGTCACCTCACTTTCCCTGGGTTGACGGGACTAAAGGCAAGTCTGTGACCACCCTCCCCAAGTCAAGGAGGAAGGAACTACATAGCCACGACTTGGAAACTGCCCCAGCCCCAGCCCCGAGGTCGGGGCCCGTGTCCCAGGAAAGGAGTCTTGAGGACAGATGGGAAGCTCTCACCGGTCTACTCATGGAAACACGGCATCAGCAGCGTCAGGGCCGGCCCGTGCAGTCACCCCCGGGCAGAAGCCAGCCTGCAGTTAGGGCTTGTGAGATCGAAGTGCTCAGGGCTAAAGACGGGTAAACAAATGCTGGCACAAACCCGATCTCACGCTGTTTTGTTTTATGATTATCAAAATAATAACTTCATAAAAAAATTTGAAAAGTACAGAAGAAAAAATAACAAGTAGCCACAACCAGCATATGTACGGGGAGCTGACTATTAATATTTGTTTTGGGGGGCCGGCAGGCAGCATGGTAGTTAAGGGTGCTAGATTCCCACATAGCCAACCGTGGTTCGAGTCCCAGACCTGGTGGCTTACTTTCTCACTTTCTCTCTCCTTCTTGCTCTCACTCTGTCCCTCTCTGGTCAAATGAAAACTAAATAAATATATAAATAAATCAAGTTAAATAAAAATAATTATTTAAAAGAAGCATCTGTTCTATATCCTTCCATCCCAGTCCAGCCCATCGCCCACTGACTCTGAGATGCAGTCCCCCACACCCTGAGATGGAGGCCCGCCTCTGACTCAGCGGGTCTTACGTTCACTGGCAGGGGCGGCCCTCCTTGAGGGGGGGGGTGGTCTG